TGATAATCTCGTATCTGGGTCTGCACCTCCTGTCGAAACTTAATATTGGCATCAGATTCGCGTTGCGCATTTATTTGTACCCCGCGGAAGCGCTCTTCCACTTCCTGTCGGACCAGATCGGCAACAGTAGTCTCTAGGGCGGCACCATCGCTTTTCCGAGCTTGTCGTTTGGCCTGGACATTAAGTTTCCGAATCTGCTCACGCAGTGCCGTCGTTGCGTCAGCTTGACGCTGAACTTGCAGGTTCAATTCTGATTGCGTATTTGTATGAGCCTTCTGCACCCTGCACTCTAAGAGATGCGCTGCATTGGTCGTGATATCCAAGACAAGACTGCGAATTGACTCGCGGAGAGGCTCTTCAGCGCTGCTGACTCTTGCCAGCAAGTCTTGTCGTACAGCGCCACTCGCTCTCTGCAGATCCAGTTCCAGTGATTCTTTTAATGAGGCCTTGATACGAGTAGCAGCAGCCTCCACTTCCATCTGTACAGCGCGCGTTGACTCCTCACAGAAATCAAACTGTAGTTGAGAAGCTGCAAATGAAACTTCGACAAGTTGTTGAACGTGCTGTGATATGTTCTCCAAGCCACCGTCAATTTTTGCCTCCATCTCCAGCAGCTTCTGTCGAACCCCTTCCAAATGAGCCGAAGCTGCTATCTGTGCTTCGCGCTGTGCTTCTTCCTGTGCATGAGCGATACTGTCGTTCACAAATCGCTCAATTTGTCCACCACGCACATCTTGCACCATTTGCAGATGCTGAAGTTGGTCTTGAAGGCGGGATTGGGTTGCTGTCAGCGCTTCGCCCAGTTCTTCGACGATTGCACGCTGTTGATCAGCGAGCTGCGTGACACTGGACTATGTCGTTGCCTGCATAGCCATCAAGGCCGCATTTTGGGCGTGACTATGTCCTTGGTGCTGCTGCTGTAGGGCTACGTGCTCAGCAGCAAGAGCCTGGGTCTGGGCAATGAAGTGCTGCGCAAGATTTGCCAAGTGATCAGCAACACTTGGTACATTGGCTATAGCCAATGGAGCGGTGCTAGCTCTCTCCACATGCGGTACGATCGCAGTTTCAGCATCTGGCATCTCGCTCATGTGTGCTGCAGCCACCGCAGCAGCGGCAGCCTGGGCTCGTGTATGGACCATGGTGGAAGCTGTAGGCAGG